AATAGGCTTACGCATGACAGGAGAACATACACATAACAAGATAGGCGGGCTCTAGAGTCAAGATGGCAGCCTAAGCTTGCTCATCTCTGATTTGTCTTTACCTTAGGTGTCTTGGGGTTCTCCTTCAAGGGAACAACCCATTATCCATCCGTATCCAAAGAGTGGGCTCTCCTTAGGGTGGGACAGACAATAGGGAGGTTCTCAACCTTCCTAAAGCCGTAACCCTTTAATACAGTTCCTCATGTTATGGTGACCCCCCCAACCATAAAATTATTTTCATTGCTCCTTCATAACTGCAATTTTGCTACTGTTATGAATCATCATGTAAATATCTGCTATGCAGGTGTATTTTCATTGTTACAAATTGAACATAAATAAAGCATAGTGATTAATCACAAAAACAAAATGTAATTATGAAATATTTATTTCTAATTACAAATAAATGAAATTTTGTCTTGAAGCATAGTATACCATGGGTAACAGTTTTAATATACAACAGTAAACGACATTGCTACATTTTGCGACAGTAGGCGTAAGAAGCCAACATCCTTGCCAAGGTTGAGAGAGCTTCTTTCTCACCAGATCAGAAATTCTCAGGGCAGTCTTTGCAAGAGCACAACGAAGATCATCTTCCACAACAAGTCTACTTCTGTATTTAGACTCGATAACCAACAAGTTGGAAAACCCTGTTTGACAAAGATATGTTGTTGGAAATGGAAGAAGGCACAACCCAGTCTCAGACAGGAGAGGATATGACTGCAAACACTTGATCTAGAATTTTGCAACTGGCATTGTGGAGAAATCAGTTCTCGCTGCATCGCTGTTAACAAGTTCAATGTTCAGGAACATCTTCAACTATAACTGTGCATGGGCTTCTGGCAAGTGCAAATGGGGTATCAGATAGATTTGGAAATTTTGTCTGCAAGCATGTGCAAGTGTTTCTTTCACAGAAATTGATCGTCATCCTTTTGTCTGTTCCTCAAAGAAAGCAGATAAGGTAGGCAACATGTACATTTTATTTCCATCCATTTTTTTTTGTGCCAAATCTGAAGTTTCATGTAGAATGATCGATCTTTTCAGACAAATCGAGGCATGGTTGCAGTGATAAATTTAACTCATTCAAGATGGTAAAGATGTCACCCAAGCAACCTATTGTCTGCAGTTCACTTTCATCACTGAAAAGTGCTTCCAACTGCGGTCTTGCTTTCTGATTGAAAAACGTTTTGAGTTCATCATAAAGCTCAAAACATGTTTGAACACTTTCCTCTCGACAACCATCTCACTTCAGTGTGAAATAACGGAGCATTATTCACTGCATCCAACTTGTTGTACAGTTGTGAAAACAGTCTAGTTTAAAGTGATCGCCTTTACAAAATTGACAGAGCTTATGACGCTTTTCTTTACTTCTTGTAACTCTTGCGGCAGTGTCTTCGTTGCTAATATTTGCTGATGAATCATACAATGAGTTCCAATAACTTTTGGTGACTCATTCAGTACCAAACGTTGAAATTCAGATCGACAGCCCAGCATAGCTGGAGCACCATCTGTGTAAACACCACAAATCTTTTCCCAAGAGATCTAATGCTTTCAGAAATGAACCAACTGTGTCAAATATATCACATGCAGTAGTTGATGTTTCAAGAGGTTTTCATAAAAGGAACTCATCTTTAAAGTCACCATCATTAATATACCTCACATAAACCAGTCACTGTGAACAGTTTGCAACGTCTGTAGATTCATCAAGCTGGATGCTAAATATTGGAAGTGGACAGATTTAATTTCCTGGATTACGTGACCAAGAATATCAACAGACATGTCATCTATTCTTCTGGGGACAGTGTCTTTAGATAAGGAAATTGCACTCAATGTCATCTATTCTTCTGGGGACAGTGTCTTTAGATAAGGAAATTGCACTCAATTTCCTAACAAATCATAACTCGAACAATGTCTTTGGCCGCTGGCAACAGTAAATCCTCAGCAATGGTGTGAGGTTTCATAGCTCTGGCGATTCTGAGTGCCACCAAATATGAAGCTTCAACGGCTGCTACGTTTTGTTTGTGGTACTTGCCATCAGTGTCAGGTCTGGCTTTCTTGAGTCCATCAGCTTTGCTTCTAAAATAGTTGGTATCCTTGCCCGCAAAGCCTGGATGCTTGCTATCAAAATGGTGTTTTAGTTTGTTCAGCTTCATAGATTCGGCTGATAGAACTTCACAAGAAATAACACATTGATGTTTCTCAATTCCTGCTGTAATTATTGAGGTAAAACTATACTGTAAAAAAGCCTCACTATATTTTCTCTTCTTAATGTTCTTCTCTACACAATCCATTGTCATGGGATGGTTTGCTAATGAAAATAATATATAACAATAGCTTTAATAATACAAAAGATGATACATGGCATAGTTCAGTCAATACAGTTCATTAAAGTTTCCTATGATTTAACACTGTGTTGTTTTTTACCTACCTGTTACTATCATAAGGGGGCAGTATTCACATCAGCCACAGCTGAATATACAAAGACCAATCAGCTTCCAGATTAAGTTCCCATGGTACAGATATTTTTTTGCAGTAGGCAATGATTTTACATTTACCCAGTAATTATAATTCATGAAATGTCATTTTACCTCCAATACTGCTGTTTTCAACACAGCAGCTGCTCTCTACACATGTGACTGGTCCGCATAAGTACATTATGGCACCAACCCTGTCACATACACCTGTATTTGTACAGGGTATATATGATGGGGTTGGCATGATGATATCATCATGCCGGGTACTCATATGTGGGAGTATCTGCATGTGGGCAGACCAGCCTGGAGACAGAACAGTGGTGTCTTGGTTCCTAAGACCTTCGGTCAAAGGGCTGTTTGACCTCCAAAGGGGTCGGGACCCACAGGTTGGGAACCGCTGCTCCAGACAATAGGGCCAATCACCTTAAGGCAGATAACCTTTAAGCATTGTCCTCCAAGTGTCCTCCAAACATTTACAAACCGCACCTTAGGCTTGGCATATATTATGGGGCGGGGGAGCGCCAATCTGGGGAATAATTTTTCTATTTCCCACAGATGGCTTTCAATTTTCCTAGTTCATACTACATACATTCCAAGTTCTGGTTATTAGTAGATTTTTGCAGCTGTTTCTTCTTACCTTGAGCTGTTCCTCATCAGTAAATGAGGATCTCACTCCCACAAGCTTAACTCTATTCATGTCATCATGGTCAACTCTACTTTGACATTCGCAGTGCCCTCCGACCCAAGGGACCCATCCTCTGGCACTATCTCCAAGGTTCTCTCTGGTCAGTGAATTTTTTCATAAAAGCAGTTTCGTTGGAACCTCATTTTCTGTGATAGCCGATTTAAAGGGACAGCATGCAACTGTGAAATTTTCTTTCCTGCTTGGGAAAAATGCTGCAGAAACCGTGATGTTGAACACAGCTTAAAAGGACAATGGTAGGGGAAAACTCAGGTGTACAGTGGTTTTCTTGTTTTAAGAAAGGTGAATTGTCAAATGATGACAAACCTCGTTCTGGACATCTATCAACTTCCCAAACATACGAAAATGTCGACAAAATTCATGCACCAATGACAGACCACAGAAAGGCAATGGGTTGGATTTGGCCCTCATATCATGATTTTCCAGGGTTTCAGGCATGGAACGTAAGGCCCAACTTTTATTTATTTGAGGGAGCGCTTCCGATTGGCAGGTCGCTGGCACGCTTATGCGCACGCATCCAGCCTGCGCGGGGAGGAACTTCCAGGGTGACGCAGCACCTTTCGGAGAGCCCCTTACCTTTTTCTGGGTCTCACTTTCCCGCTCTGTAAAATCTTGGAGTTCAAAATGGTCTGTGAGTCAGCTGTCAAACAAAATATAATATCATTTACTGGCGGGTTGATAGAACTAGGTGCTTTTTACTGGCATCAGCTCACAGAATTTTCAGAGTACCCTTATGAGGTTAGTTTTATTAGATACGCATTTTCTGAAAACAATAGCTCAGAGAGAGGGAACATTTAAAAAGTTCTTTGTTGCAAGTACTTATTTAGTTAATTGTCCCCAGGACTCTTATGCCTGCCTGAGGCCAAAAGAACAAATAAAACAAAGTAATTTAACCCTAACACTGCTCAAGTGCTGTTGAATAGAGATCTCATTGTAGCCACCTTACAGAAGTGAAACGGCTAAATCAATTTTAATCCTCTATTTGACCCAAATATGCAAAATACTATAATTCCAACATATAACCAATATAAAATTGAGCTATCTTACATTATTTTTGCATACTAAGTCTTCGAAATGCAGTATTTCCCGTTACAACACATCTCAATTTGGAGGAGTCAGTGAAAGGACCTACTTCAAACTTGCAATTAGTGTCACCCAACGGGGCAACCCCTTTACAGTTCATTTACCAACGGGCACGTAATAATAAGTGCGAGTTCTTGAGTATTTACCCTGTGCCAGGCACTGTGAAGCATCTTACTACACAGGTTACATGTCATTCTCGCAACGAGGCCGGTGCAACTGGCTCTCCTCGCTGGACAGATGAATAAAATGCGGCTGCCCGTGGTCCGCACTCACGTCCCCACAGCTGACCAGAGCCAGGCCCTCCCCAGCGCCTGCTGCCCAGAACCCTAGTCGAGAGGGGTGCCAACCCCGGAGAGCTCAAGGCTCACCAGCGTCCTAACCAGGGTCAAATGAGGACGCGGGACGGCGAGGGCAGCGCGGGTCACCTGAGAGATGCTACGGTTGGCAAAGCTAAGAACCCTAGCCGAGATGTTCACATTGTGACCTTTGAACTCGTCCTCCAGAAGCTGTTTATTTTTGTGTACCTGGAGCTTGCTGCCCGCGGCCTCAGCTCCCGCCTGAAGCCGCTTGCGCGCGCTAGGGGGCGCCGCTGCCTCGCGCGGCCACGCCGCTTCCGGGCTCTCGCGCGCCGACCGGATCACAGAGAAGCCAGAGGCGACTTCCACTTCCGGCTGTCGGAGGTGCCGCGCTGGTGTAGGTAGGCTCCCCGCGTTCTCGTGCCGGCCCCCGCCCCTCGTCCGCCTTCCTCAGGGGGGCGCGGGCTCTAACCTCGACTGGAAACGTGTTCTCGCTTTGCCCGCGCAGACGCGGTACTGAGCCCTTTGCGACCGGACAAAGAGTGACGCCCAGAGCCGGAGTCATGGCGGCAACGGAGGAAAGCTCAGCGACCGCTGGGGCGGCTGGGAGCCTCGCGGCGCCGCGGGAGACAGCGGATCCGAGCTCGGACCCGGGACGTGCCTTTGCACGTTTTCTTTCGATCCCCGAGGCTTCGCCGCCGGTCCCTGAACCCTCCAGCCCCTACGCCGCGATCCCTGAGGCGATCCCGACGGCTCCTGCGGTAGCTTCCGCCGCCCCGGATTGGCCCCTCGGGCCCGCGCCCCCGGCGGCCGCCGGGCCGCGCCCGGGCGGCTCCCGACCGGGCCCCGAGACCTTCCGCCAGCGATTCCGGCAGTTCCGATACCAGGACGCGGCCGGCCCGCGGGAGGCCTTCCGCCAGCTGCGGGAGCTGTCGCGCCAGTGGCTGCGGCCCGACGTCCGCACCAAGGAGCAGATCGTGGAGATGCTGGTGCAGGAGCAGCTGCTCGCCATCCTGCCGGAGGCGGCGCGGGCCCGGCGGCGGGGTCGCCGCACCGACGTGCGCATCACGGGCTGAACCGCAGGTCCCCGCGCGCGGCTCTCCCAAACCCCCGTCCCCGTTAATGAAAAGCGCGTTTTGGCAGCTCTGTGGTCTGGTGTGCCTCTTTTCGCTCGCCCTGAGGTTTCTGCCCCCGCCCTTGCCTCCTTTCTGGGTGATGACACCAAGCTGGTGGCTCTGGAGAGCGAAGGGCCTTTGTTCCCGAGGCCCGGACCATCGTTGGCTTTCGAGGGCCTCTCCGTGCGGGCCAGACCCCGGGGGCTATTCCCTCCACCCTCATCTGGGACCTTTAGTTCAAAATCAACATTGCCAATGAGCCAATTCTGACTCATAGCGCCCCTGTGGCCCGGGTAACTGCCCCTGTGGGTTTCTGATCTTGTTGTAAATGTACATCTGCAGGCACAGAAAGCCTTCTCTCTCTCTCCCAAGAGGGGTGGGGTGGGGTGGGGTGGGGTGAGGGCGTTCAACCCTCCTGATCTTGTGGTTAGGAGCCCATCTTGTAACCAGCTGCACCACCAGGGCCTAGGCCTAGGTTACTTAACGGTGAAACGTTTGACTGCAGGTCCAGACTATTCGAGCTGCTTCATGTCCCAGGGGCCCTTCACCTCTCCCTATTTTTCAGAATTCGCTGATAAGATGTAAGCAGCAAAACCAGTGTGAGTCAGTGGGTTATTTCAACTGCTAGCTCTGACTTTAATGAGTGACACTGGCTCTCGCCATTTTTCAAAGGGCATCTAATTATTTAGAAAGGGAAGGGATTTAATTGGGAAACTGCTCTGAAATCTTAAAAGCTACACAACCGTTCCTGGAGGCTTCTGGCCTTCTCAGAATGAAGTTAAATGGCTCCATAGGTAGCTTAATTGGTCCCCAAAGGGCCCTCTCTTTGGGTGCCATCTTAATACCAGAAAGGCCAGAAAATTTCTGCACTGCTTTCTACAGCCAGCATTGCAAAGCATGGGCCAAGAATGAGGTAAAGGCTGGTGTGGTGAGTCTGGCTTTTTAATATTATAGTATCATTTAAAAATATTTGCATACTTTGAGATCTCTGCCTCCCTGCAAAAGAGAAATGTTTAGAATGTTAAAGCAGACTTCATTTACATAGTAATGCCAAAATTTAGTGTGCATTAATTCAATAACATGCAGCTGAAACAAAGCAACAAAAACCTGTTTTATTTTTCCCGAATACAGAAGTTTGCATGTTTTGCAAATATTGCTTCAGAGCAACATTTCTATACATAGCGCATTCTGTTCTAACAGCGCGTAAACATAGGTTTGTATCCACAGTGCATTGGTGGCTCATCAACGATCCACCTTGCATACACTCAGCACTCAAAATGATTAGTCAAACCAGAACTGTCTGTATCAAGGCAATTTTTGTAGGTGGATAGTTTTTCTTAAAAGACAAAACTTAGGTAGTAGTGCACATGTTTCTAAATGGTAACAGTAATGTTTGCAAATAATTTCCAGTGCTCCAACTTGGGGTTAATTCACCTTGACTTAGGAATCGGGGATAAAGCCCCTCAACATGGCTTTAATATAGGGAAGTACAGAGGTCAGAACTTGGGGCAACCTCCCTGCTTCCCTAAGGACAAAAGTCATAATGGATAAAATGCCCCCTCCTCATCTTTATGGAACATAAGCAATGAACCCACAATGGCCACCTGTCAAAATTAGGGTAATTCAGTTCCTGCCCTCATCTTCCAAAAAGACGAAGTTGACAACTTCCTCAAATGTGACAGTCAAATGTATTTTCACAAAACAAAATCATTACTCTTAAAAAAGTCATCTTACCTCACAGTTGTGGCTACAGAAAATCATCCTGTCTCTTTTTTCAGATGTATCAGATGGTTATTAAAATATGTTGTCTGATTATTCAAAACAGATGCCACAAACACTTTTGTGTCTTACCACACCAGAAACACCACCATTACAGTAAGTGACAGATTCCTGTAGAGAAGCTGTTTGCTTTCTTCCAGATGTTAGGCTGCATGTATTCCCTCTGATGGATAAGCTACAGCAGGCCAATTTATACTTGTCCTATAGTCAAATTTACACCAAATGGAAAATAATTCACTAGAAAAGAGCATTCTCTGAAACAGATCTTGGTATACAGGCCTTCACAATAGATGCCTCACAGCCTATCCATTCCAAAGGTCCCTGGAGATACTGTCATTGCTATGAGATACTGGCTACTTCACGTTTACACAGTAAATATTTGCAGCATATAACATTACAGATTCATAAACCCATAATTGTGAATATTAATGGACAGCTGTGCTTAGATTTCTGCTTTTAGTAATAATAAAACTATAGTGTAATGATTCACTCATCAAAGCATAGGACATGTTCTTTGCCTACTAGTAAAAAAACACAATATAGCAATTATACTTGGAACCGTAACCTGCAATAGTAACACAAAAATTGTCTTAAAAGGTACAAATATACTGTACCTGGACCTTAAGCAGCATGATCACCTTGATCTCACAAAATAACACAAACAGGAAAGTTAAAAGTGTTAAATGTATATTAACAAAACAATTCTGAAAACGCTGACTACTGAACATACCCTCCAGGAGGAAAAGCGGCACGTGTAGGATTGAAAGTTTACATTATAAAATAAGGTAATTCTCCAAACCACATTCTGCATAACAAATCTTCATAGTGAAAGAGTTCAAAATTTAGGGAAACAATTTTGGGGCCTTAAATAGAACTGGGAAGCTGTCTAAGAAGTGAGTAAAAAATTCTGTCCTTTAAGTTGCAGACCCTGCCTGCTCTTCAGTTTGAAATTTGCCCTAGATTTTTATTAGAATGAGATTCTAGCTTCTCCATAGTCTATGGACTCTACAAAAGAAACAATCCGGCCAACTCTGGGGTGAATGCATACAAAACCTGTCCCCCGTACCATGAAGTCATGCAAGAGATGTGAGTAAGTGAAGAGGCCTAACGAGCTCCTGCCCAGCCATCACAGAATGGTGCCGTCCGACATGCCCACGACGCTGGAAGTGAAAATGATGTCTGCTGACTAAACAATGTCAGGCAGAAACCGTAATGGTTGGTATGTGCCCCAACCTGATGAAAAAGTCAAATAAGCTGCAAATCTAATTTACAACTTCCCGACTAATTTTTTTGGCTCTCATTCCATTTTTTTATCATCAGTGGCACGATTTCAAGTGAAGTTTGTGCAAAAAAGTTCTCTCTTCATTCAACGATGTACACCAAAAAAGGAATCCACAAGAGTCTTACTTGTATCTTCTTGGCAGGCTTTGAGACCAGACTGCCCAGCCTTCCAAACAGCCAAATGGCCTCTGTATCCAATGCTCACCACACCCCTGCCCAGATCCCTGATGTCTGTCGGCGTCAATGTGCATTCAGCATGCTAGGTTTGTTTATTTAAATACGTGAAGCTTCTCCTGCAGGTGTCCCCATTAGTTTGGGTGCACAGCTTCATGTTGAGCAGCAGAGAGCAATCTGCTGCACCTTGCCTAGGTCCATCAGCAGCTGCTTGATGCAATGCTTCAGTTGTGGTAGCCTGGCCAAAGGCTCTGGGGGCTCCAGTTCCCCAGTATAGTCCAGCCAGCTCTCCAACACTGTTGGCAGAATAGAGAAACAAGACCCAGTAAGCTCTCCACATTGGAACTGTGAAAACATCAAGAGTTTCAGCACTTTATCTCATCTGACCCCTCATATTTCTCATTTCCAAGTCCTTTTACTTGCTGGGATCAGGATGAAAGGTTCCTCCTCCCTGGGACCCCCAAGGACCAACAAGAAATATGACAGGAAGGACGGGGAGCTCTGTGGAGTCAAGAGCTAACATGGGCATTTCACTAACACCATTAATCCTTTCTCTCACTGCATTTGTTGAGTGTGTACTGTGTGTTCTAGGCATAAAGTGAGTGAGGATGGTGTGCAAGCCCTCTCAGCCACTGCATTCCTAGAGCTTGTTCTAGTTGGAGAGAGAGACTATCATCCCACTGCACAGGCACAAACCATGAGGAGTGAGTGCTACAAAGGGCCGGCAGGGGAAGCCACAGGACCCATAACACAACAGATCCTCTGGTGTGAATCTGTTCACACCACAGGCTGCTGCAAGGACTACAGAGGCTATCATTAGAGTGGAGTAGATGTAAAGCCTACCTGGAGAAGCTGTCTCATAGCAACCCTACAGCATATGCCCAGATGGCCTCTCCTCAAATGCCAGAAGTTCAGGAGGGTGGTTTGGGAAGAACAAATATCTTTCTATAGAGACGCAAGGCAATATCAAGTGTGTTTGCACCTGGACATCTGACATTAAATAACATCAGTATTCTGTGCCCACTGCTACTTATATATGGATCAGAAATTAATATGAAGCAAAACAGAATTTGTAGTTTCTAAAAAATAGACCTTTTTCAAATGCCTATATTTTCATTTTTCTAGACAAGCAGCTAAAATGTCAGGCTCTCTGATTTCCACCCGGAGAAAGTCTTATAAAGAGTGGGCAAAGCCCACTAGACCCTTAACCCACTGTTACCAAGTAGATTCTGCTCACAGCAAATGTATCTAGTTTCCAAGGCTGTCAACCTTTATGAGTAGGCAGCCTCATTCTTTCTCCCGCAGAGCATCTGCCCTTACCATTAGGAGCCCAACACGTGGCAGAGCCACCGACCTCCTTCAGATCTGCACTAGTGCAGCCCCAAAAGCCCTCACTGCCATCAAGTTGGTTCCAAGCCCCAGCAACCCAAGAGGATGGAGTCAAGTTGCCCCCTTTGGGTTACTGAGACTTGAAGACATTGTTTACAGGAGCAGACAGCCTTGCTGCGCCATACCTACATTCCATTTAGGTGAATTAAAATGGAATAAAATAAATCCAACTCATCAGTTGCACTAGCTACGTTTGCACTAGTGACTCCCATATTGCACAGGTAGAGAACATTTCTATCACCCCAGAAGACATTTTCTTGAACTGCATGGCTGTTGAGCCGTATCCCAGAAGTAATTCCTATACTCTGCGAAACAGGTGCTGAGTCGGTGCTGGCTCAAACAGTTCCATGGACTGGCCTCCCACTCCCAGGTCCTGAGGTTTACTTGAGGCAGGGGGCGGCTCACGCACGTGTTCCATCAACATCATTTTCCTCCAACATTCTTATTGTTCAGTTGAGCCAGCCCTCGTCATCTATCCTGAGTCATCCCTATCCCTACACTCGATCTTAGCCAAAAGGCCTAGAAGTGATCATCCTCATCTCTAAAAGAAAACATCATTGCTCTCATCAAGGCAGCACTTTAGTCCCAGGAAGCCTTCTATAGGTACTGTTTCCCTTCACAGCAACAGCGCACTCTCTCTCTGTTGGCATGGTTTTCAACCAAACATCGCCTGGCCACACATCAACACCACTGCTTTTGTAACACACAGCATTTTCGCCCCTGAGGTTCTTTTCCATGCTAAGTGTATTTTTATATCCCTGGTTACAGTAAAATTAAACTGACTTTATCCTTAATTTGGTTCCATTTTTAAGATAAAAACTATCAGGAAGTATACAATCAGAAGCCATGTGGTCCTCAGTACCAAAACCAACTCCCTCAGGGTCAAAGACACTGAATTTGATCATATAAATTATCACATGTTCAGTCCTTCTGGTAGGAAGGACTACCTTAAATCTCCTCTAATAAAACAAAGCCTTCATTTTAGGGTTACAACAAAATAAAAGGGTTTTCAGAGTCATCCTTAGACACCTTAGACTCGGTGTAGTCAAATTTTCAATTCTCTACAGAACTGTGTTGGATTTTGCTCAGATGAGGCTTCCTGTAGAGAAAGAGGCCACTTGCTCTTTTTCTACAAATGTTCCCTTTACAGACAGGATTGGGCATGTGAGAGAAGATCCCTGACATCTTGTAGTCCTTATAAGAAATAGTACAAGTAAGTTATGCTCATCTTGAGGGGAGAATGGAAGTAAGGTATGGCTAAAAACTGTCTCTGGAAAATGGAGCAGGGGCAGATTGTGGGATTCAGAAGGTAGCTCATTTGGGTGGGGTCAGAGGGCATGCCATGCCATTGGGCAGGAAAAAAACCTACCATCCAGCTCCTTCTCAATGGAGTCCATCCTATGAGTGACTTCATCCTGCAGAGACTCCACATGTGTCAGCAGGTTAAACTGCCACTGGTGCTGGGAGCTCAGCAGTGCCTCTCCGCCTCTGTCCAGCAGCTTCCGAGCAGGGGCTTCCTCTGGGGAGACCTTTTTGGACACATATTCCCTTCCCTGGGGATGCAATGGCACGAAAGTTACAGAGCAGAAGATGGCTCAAAGATCCTTTATCCGAGCCAGTCAGTGTGTGCAGCCATCTGAAAAGCCCGTAACTCCATCTAGCTCCCTTTCCTTCCCTCTTCGGCCATGTGTGCCATACCAATTCCAGCCACTGCAGCCCTCTTTGGCCATGTGTGCCATACCAATTCCAGCCACTGCAGCCCTCTTTGGCCATGTGTGCCATACCAATTCCAGCCATTGCAGCCCTCTTTGGCCATGTGTGCCATACCAATTCCAGCCACTGCAGCCCGGCCTGGGCCTCTGGCTGCAGGCCGCATGACTGCCCTACACGGACAGGCCCAATGCTCTAGACTAGAAGTGTGCCAACAGAGAATAGTGTCCAGACCCTTGAGATCTGACTAAAGCAGGGCTAGTCTAGGCAGGATTAGTACTCGGGAGTCACCCACACTAGATTTAAATCCCAGGTCTGTGTCTTGCTGAACAAGTGGTCCTGGATTAGCTACTTTCTGAGCCTGTTTCCTCAAAGGAAAGAAGGAGGCAGTAAAAATTCCTTTGAAGGTTCATGAGGATAAGACCGAGGAAAGCTCAGTGCCTGCCTTATAGTCAGCTCATCATCCATGGAAGAGCTTTTGAATGGAGTTCTTTGCTTAGGCCCAGTTATTTCCTGATTTTTGGCACTTTGCCAGGTGCCTCTACAGAAATTGAAGTCCAAGTCAGTACTGCCTGTCTCACAAGACCACACATCTTGTCTGGATTTTGTGATCCCAAGCTTTTGTTCGTTCTCTTAAAATAAAAACAGATTCTAAATAAATAAATAAATAAAAACAGATTCGAATCAACATTTATTTAGGGCTTAACTAACTGTAAATCAATGTGCTGTGAGCATATTATAAATAAATTCCTCAACAACTGAGAGGGCACTGCCAATGGCCCCTTGCACAGCCGAAGAAAGCAGGTAGGTCTGAGGAGGTGAAGTGGCCTGCTCTGAATCACAGAGTTGGTGGCAGAACCCAGACGTGAAACTGGGTCCATCTCAGAGGACTGTCTGCCACTATTGCCCTACATGTTTAGACACTGGTGAGCGCACAATCCCCACCTCTAAGGATCTTACATGCAGGGTATATGCTCTGGGTGGTATACAGCAATGTATTTAATGCTGATGACCTCAACTCACAGGATGAAGTATGTGAAAGTCATGGCTATGATGATGCCAAGGGCAAAGAAGCTCTGAAACTGCACACAGTCTGACACTGAGGACAGTGCAGAATGAGACCAGTAAACAGCAAGGAGGGTGATACAAAGGGATTCAGAAAAGAATGATTGAATAACTTATAAAACTCAAAGCAGCTCATAAGAAAACTGAAATTAAGAGCCCCCCAATAAAATGATTTTTTTTAAAAGAAAGGGACGATGGCAACATATGTACAAATGTGCTTGATACAATGGATGTATGGATTGTTATAAGAGCTGCAAGAGCCCCAATAAAATGATTTATATACGGGAAAAAAAGAAAGAAAACTGAAATTAAAAGTCAAAGTATAGCTATGATAAGATTTCACTTAAAATTTTATACCTAACACTAAATGCTCGTTATTCTTTACTCATGCTAAAAACTAGCACCTGTGTGCAATTATAATGTAAGCTGAATTAAATGAAAACCCAGTTTCCCATTTTCCAAGTTCCTGTCAACCCTTTTCTCCTTGCCACATCCCTCCTTCCACTCCCCTCTTTCACCCACCGATTATACAATCTTCTGGTCATTTCCTGGAATTAATGATCTTTGGCTCAAATGACTCTCCTGACTTTGTACCCATTTTAATAGACAAATTTATATACATATAAATACATATAATATACATATATTATAAATACATAATTTAAAATAAGCTTTTTAATACAATTTTCTAATAAAGTTGTCCTATCTTCCAAAGAACATTTAGCCCCAGGAAGAAAGGCTTACACTCAAACAATTAAGAACAAGTGTACACAAGCAAAAAAGAAAGTGTGTGTAAGCCACATACATACCTTTGGGGAGCTGGGTTTCGGGTCACTGTTGCCCCTGCTCCTGTCTTGATCTAGAGGCCAGCCCAGGCGTGGGGAAAGGGAATCGTCACCATTCTCATGGAGGGGGTTGACGGCATCATCCAGGGCGGAGCCTCGAGTCTCGACCACCAGCTTCTGTTCCACAGCAGGGTAATAGGCGCGGGGCTTTTGGTAGCAATGCTCACTGGTGATATAGGACTCTTCCACAGATGGGGGCAGAGGCAGGGGCAGGGGCAGGGGCTTCTCCACTGCCCCGTTCAAAGTTCTATAGCTTAGGAGTTCCTCCGTGCTCCTTCCTTCAGCAGCATGGATGTGTCTGGAATGAGACTGTCCCTCCCCAGAGTGTTGTTTCCAAGGCTGACACCACAGCTGCAGATCGGGATGCTCCCTGCTTCTGTTGGGAAGGAAAAGAGGAAAAGGGCTTTGGAGTAAGTGGTACCACTGCGGAGACTTCTAAATTCCTAGGCTTTTTCCCCAGGAAAAAGAACAGCTCCCATGTGGCCACAAACCACTATTTGCACCAAGCAAGAGAAACCAAATCTGTAGTCTCTCAGAAGGCTGCTTCTAAGCAAGCTCCCAGAAAACAGGCAGCGAATGGGACTGGACTCACAGCCAGAAGACTTGATCGGTGTCGCCTCAGCCTCTGATCAACTCACTACAAAGCTGTGCCAAGGCCTTCACCTACCTCATTCTGGTTTTGTTTTCTATAATTAAATGGAAGCCCTTTGTACAGTGCTGTTCAAATGTGGCGTACTAAAAGTCTTACGTAGGAAAAGTTACAATAATCCCAGCATGTACTGGCACTTAGTTATAAAAGAGCAATGGAAAAAAAATTGAAAATATTTTTTTAAGGGCAATGATGACCCAAGGTGGGGAAGAAATCAATTATCTTTTACATGTAAGCCATTAGTAGTAATGGGTTTTTCAATTTTTCTAAAATCTCCCCATTTTCATCATTCCAAAGAGAAGTTTGTTAGCAATGAACAGGGATTCTTAATGTTTTGGGAGCCACAGACTCCTCTGAGAATCAGTAGAACTTCTGGTATTTTCATGTGCATCTAAAACTCAGAATCGTTCACTATTTGATTTTTTTTTTTTCACAATTTGAGTTTTAATCAAAGAAAAATGTCTTCAAATTCATTTAATAGACAAATATAAATTAACATAGAATGAATCAGCTGAACAGCAGTGAGTTTCTTAAGTAAGGTCCACCAGCTACCAGCAGCGCTCAGTCAGATAGTAGAGAATACTTATAACCAAGGGGGCTGAGAACTGGTGTTCACCTTTAGCTCACGGAAGCGTGGAACTGGGTGGGAGTCTTTCTGGCTATCATAATGACCTGAGGGGTGATACTGATAGTGAGTACATAGAATCCAGGCATCCTAAACATTCTATAATGCCTACGACAAGCCCATACAAAGAATTATCCCACAGTATACTATCAGCACCTCAATTGAGAAACACTGAATGAGCTCAGCAAAAAAGCACAGGGCAACCACCCACCCCACCCCTTTTACTGACGCTTTCAGTAGAAATGGAGTAGGTCATAAACATGAATGATGGAGAGATTTCATAGAATCCAAAATTCTATGCCCAAGAACCTGCACCTGTCCTTTTCTCAGCTCTCCCATTCCAACAATCCCTACACCACTCCTACTCCTAGAGGAAGAAGAGGGAAACAGCTGACCTACATCAAGGTAATCTGCATCAAGGTGGTCCAGGCCCCACCTCCAAGAAAGGTGTCGGAGTCTGAGCTCCCTTTACCAGGGGCCTACCCAAGATCCTGAGAAGTCCTAATTGCATAAGGGAAATGGGAGTTGATTAGATGCTGTGGAATAAGCACTGGACTGTTAACCGCAAGGCTGGTAGTTCAAGCCCACCAGCCATCCTGCTGGAGAAGGATGAGACTGCCTGCACTTGTAAATCAGTTAACATGGAGCAGATGAAAATCACAAACATCTTTATGCTCTCCTACAATTCCCCTCCCAGCTAAGATCTAAAGGTTTACAAGGAGAACCTTGCTTCTCACAAGGATAATAACCCTGCCCTGTCCTTTTAAGCCCTGTCAATCACAACCACACTTATCATTTTTGCCATCAGATAACCTGATGTCACGCCAAGCTTTACTGTCTTTGAAACCCACCAGGTCATTTGGAAACAGTATTTCTGAGAATGAAGACTCAGAGGCTGGGATAACAGAGACTACCCATGTACAACACAGAAAAACTAAAGTCACCTCCCCTTGTCCCCAATCTTTTCTCTATCATGTCTAACAAGGTTTCTCTCTTCAAAACTGCTAGAGTGGGCAATGCCAGATTTCATTCCAACAAAAACAGTCCTCTACTGTAAAGATCAGGGATATGAACAGGGTTCTGGAAAGAACAAGGCCCAGATTACAGATTAGGACATTAGAGCACTCCCATTTCAGTGAGAAGAAAGAACGCCATTGGCTCGAGTCCTCAAATGAAAAAAACATAGCAGAGGAGTTTGTGTTTCCAGGTCCTCTCAGGAACCACCTTCCTTCAACCTCAGCCAATTTCTGGCTCCCCTGAAGATTTTAATTTGGTGTAGATGGAGTGTAGTTTCTTGTATGAAATATGAAGTGTCTGATAGCCTATCCTGGGTCGTCATTTCATTCAGTTCACTTCAACAAATTGTCGTCACAGCAACTGCTAAATGATCCCAGCATCTATCCTCTCCTTTTTTCCTCCTTATTTTTTTAAAACTACCTATTTTCTAGCAGGCCACCTCATTGGTTTCCACCCCTCACCCCACCTCATGATGAAGTCCATCCATGAAATTGTTTGCTCTTCTCTTTTGTGAATGTACCCCTCCTGGGGGCTGTGCAGAGCTGGGTGCAGGGGTGACTGTTTCACCACGCAGCTGAAGACAATCCTGAGGGAATCCCAAGGCAGTAAGACAGAAGAAATAAAAGTCCTCAAGGACAAAATCCTGGAGAAAAGCCACCAACCTGGCCTGGGCCCCTGCCTACTTCTGGACCATTCACTGTATCAAAAAAATTTCCATTTTGTCTGAGCCCTATTTTTGAAGCCTTTATTGCAGCAGTGTGTGAAATGAATCTGATCTCCATTCCGCCTTTTCAGGGCTGTAATGCTCCATTCTGCTGGATCTGAGTGGTTGATCATTTCTTAGCTCACGTATGGCACTAGTCTGTAACTGTCTATGCCCTAACTCAAATGGTCCCCTAGGAGAAGACTCAGGAGAATTTTAGCAGAGATTTTTTTTTTTTTTTTTTAAACAGAAGAACAGTTCCTGCCATAGACTGTGTTACCAATGGAATCATAAAACCAGGTAGCACCGCTAAGGAGTAATTAGAAAGATCAAGGGCAAGCCATCAATTCTAGTCCTGGTTCTGCCACCAATTTCCCGGGGAACCATAGAGAGCAGAGTTGCCCAATTCAATGCCCGTTACTTTAATTGGCAAAGTTGAGGAAAGGTTGTAAATGCTAGCAGCTCTCATATGAGAGCGATATGCATTTATAAAAGCTTATGTGAACCTGAACATCTTACATGTAGAATGTTACCATAAATGGAAAGTTACTCAATTTTACCCACCAAATTTCTGATCACTAAAAGCTAGAGGTACAATCCCCAAAGGCCTTAAACTTCTCTGTATGAGCAAACCACCAAGCAATAAATATTTATTAAGCAACCTCTATGCTAAGAGAGCCCACCTGTCAATGATACTCTTTTTCTAATAGCTTTCTACATTACTGTTTACCAATCAAGATGATTTACCACGTGACTGGAAGTTTTTAGTGAAAGTCTCTAGTCCTGGGTTATGTGTTGGGCTGCTAGCCCAACAGTGTGAACTCATCAATCACTCCATGGAAGAAAGATGACATTTTCTGCTGCTGTCAACATGTACACTCTCAGAAACCCAGAGGTCGGTCCAACTGTCCTGTAGGGTTGTTTGGAATCAGAACTGACTCAATGGCAGTGAGTTTTGGTTTAGCTGAGCTCAGCTGTTTTTGTACTGATTTCATGGCTTTCCAATTTCTCGATGTACCCACCCTAGACCATGTCAGACTCTTCCCCAAAGCAGCAGGTGCCACACTTACTGTAAGATGCTCATCTTGAGCTGCAGACCATGCAGAACCTCAATTACTCTTTGCACATCGCCAAGGAGCTGGTGGGTGGCCACAATCTTCTTGGCATTCTGGTGGGAATAGTTTTCGTCTAGAAAGGCCAGGCCATGCATATGTCCCCTGCTCAACCACTCCTTGTCATACCAATATTTGAAGCCAGGTCTCTGACCTACAGCATGACAAAGAAAGGATTAAGATACTTCAAGATTACCTCACCCTTATAACACACGGATAAAAGGATGGGTCATACGGTATGTTCGCTTATTCATTAGCATGGCACCTATTACATGCTGATCTCTGGTGTCATCGATAAGGTAGTAAATATGACATTCTTTTAGTTGTATTCATTCTCCACCTTCTTGAAAATCCCCAATGGCTTTCTACTGCTCATGGAAGAAAACCCAAAGTTCTAGCTCTGGCCTAATTAGATCTGATCCACTCAGCGCCTTCCTGGACTCCTCCACTTCTCACCCTCCTTTAGCGGCCTCCTTTCAGTTTGTGAAGCACATTAAGCTCTTCCTGGTCTTTGGATCTTTGTTCTTGCATGCTCTCTGTCTGGAACACTACACCCAAAGGCCTATGCAGGGCTGGCTCCTTCCCACCTCCTTAGAGAAGTCTTATTATGTATTACTTCTCAAAGCAGTAGTCTTCTTGATGCTGTCTAGTCCTTCCCTATCTGACTGCTTTTCCGCCCTTATTGATCACTACCCAACACTGTTCTTGCTCATTTTTACACTGGTTCTTCTCACCGCGACCCCATGGATAGTCATAGGAATCTGAATCATGTTTTCATGACTGCATCCCAAATGCCTGGAAAAAGGCATCTTGAACAGATTTATAACATAACTAGAAAAAACCCCAAGTCCATTCCCATTTCCCCCAACGACACCACCTAACAAAATAGGTGGTCAGGCCCCTTCCCTTCTCTGGACTTCTGTTTCCTATCTGTTACACTGACAGATGAATTCCATGACTTCAAAGGTCTTGATCACTAGAGGTCTCCTTAGGAACTAAAAGAACAAGCAAGTGTGAATAGCATTTCTTGCTCCAGAAGCTCAAGGAACAGCTTTCAGTCAGACTGTTCTTAACCTTCCAATAGCTATCCCTCCATCAAACCCCTGAAATAACCCAGAAAATCCCCATCAAGGTCCTTGGAGCATATTTCTGATTTTACTAAGGTACAGTAAGACACCTCAATTCTCTTTTAAAGATCCTTAAATAACCTTTAAATAACAAAGCTTCGGTTAAACTTTTGACCCAACACCACAAAGTCAAACAATTTACAAATGCAGATCCTATGACAGACATTCAATATTCAATGCAGGACCGAGTCTATTCCCAGCCTTGGTGATTGAAATCGTAAAAGATCAGAAATTTCACCAGGACTCAATGAAAACAGGGGCTGTCATTTCTGTGGAGGTAAAGAATGAGAGACAAGCATGTAGACAAAAGAGATTTTAAATAGGAGCCCTCGGGTTACGTGGGGGAGTCTGACAGGCTGTAGGCAGTGGATGACCAGCAGCATCAGAGCAGCAAGCCTGTTGTTGAAGACCAAGGTCAGACATGTGGTTTCTCACCTAGCAGTCATGTCCAATGTGGGGACTTAACTAAGTGGTCCCCGAGGTCCTGCCAATGAATGATAGCTAACCTGATCCTGTTTCTTCCTTGGAATGAGAAGACAAACAGAAGCAGCTGTCTCAGTGTCTACAGGCTAATCTAGTCTAAGGAGTCAAGGTTCCCACAACAGAGGTCATTGTGGCCATAAGGGAAGTGCCTGCTAGAAAAGAAACCGGAGTTCTTTTCATAACCAGCCAATCAAGAGATCCGGTTCCACAAATCAGTACTTCTAATTTCCTTTATGGGATTTGGAAAGTCATAAGCATCTGCTTAGAGTCTATTTCTTCTTCATAAGCAAAATGAGAGTAGGAACTCCTTCCAGGTCCACCTCATATGAGTAATAGTAATAAAAGCAGAGGTGCTAAAACACTGGCTGACTATAAGGAAATTGTGGGACTGGAGCTAGAAGAAGCACCTTCCAGGGGTTAAAAAACAGATATCACGATCCTTCTAAAGCCAGAACCCACAGATTCATTGTTAACCAAAGAGGCAAGCAAGTGCCACAGGCTACCGAAATGACACTAACCTATCCTGCTACCGAATTACTCACTGCTTTCTCTGTGGCATGTTCCGTGCCACCACACCCTTTGTCTTTCCTTCATGAGTCTATCTCCCTTTCTGGCAGCAGATGGCACCACAGGGAGCAAAGGCATGTTTCCAACCCTCCAAGAGACCCAAAAAGTCAAGAGCAGAGCCCACATGCCCAACTTCATGAGCTCTCAAGAAAAAAGAAAATGCTAGCTCAAAGCCAGGTCTTCTGCTAGGTGAATCTCTTAATCTGAGTTCAAAACAGCCTGTCCCCAGGTAGACAAACAACAAAGGCAAAACAGGTGAAGTCCAATCAATGAGTCTGATGACCACAGACATTTAGGATGTTTCATGATCAGCTGTGCTAAGGAAAAAGCCATGTACTATTAATACTCTGACTCCAGAAAAACTCTACCTGGTGGATCTTGGCAAACATAACAGGTGTATTTCTCGGGCACATTTTCTTCCAGTAATCCCATGCAGACCCCATGCTGCCAGCAATGGCACTCTTCACACTGTTAGAATTAAAGCAACAAAAATTAAACTCAGAAGGTATCCTTCATCCAAAATTAAGCCCTACCTGCAAGGGTGGGGGGAGCAACAAGAGAGGGGAGATAAGAGCATGCTCTACTGATTTATAAAAGAAGTGAGCTGCAACCATTCCACTAGACCTGCACTGTCTATCTAATATGGGAGTCACTGGCCACAAGCGACTATTTAAATTAACCGATTTAAAAAGAAAAAGTTTGTTCCTCAGTTCTAATAGTCACATTTCACGTGCTCACAGCCAAAGGAGCCTAGTGGTAACTGTACTGGACAGAGCAAATAAAGGACCTTTAACTCTTCCACAGTATCAATCCAAAATAATTTCTAGAGACTTTATGCTTCTGGGTCACTTTCCCAGGACAGTGGAGAGGTTGTTCAAGTCTTTAGAGAGAAAGGCTAACTTGGGGCAGCCAAATTTGAGTTTAACTTCTGAATCATTAGTCTTTCTCACTTTGAATGGGTCATTTTTCCTGCCTGGACTTCAGTTTCTGATTTATAAATAGGATATTATTCCTCCTCACCTCATGGGGCGGTTTGTGAGGATTTGATGGATCATGTGTAAAAGCTCCTAGGTCAGAGTCAACCTACAACTTATAAAGATGAAGTGGCTGGGCAATCAGATTTTTTGTTAACTTGAACCCGTGTGAAAGTCCTTGGAGGTGTCATTTTCTGTGAGTGAGAACTCTTCTCTCTCCGTCCGTCGGTCTCCCTGCTTGCTGGGACTCTGGATTTGCCTCTGAGGGCAACCCTATGTGAGTCACTGATCCTAGGAGCCGACCTGGGAACTGTGGGCACTACTCCTTCAATCTTGGATCCACATGACTCTGCACCCACCGACGTGTGATCTCCCAGCTTCCCCCTTCACCTTTCTTTGTCATAACTGGTTTTGTTTCTCTGGACCATCCAAGCTACCACAATGCCTATTACTAATACTACTGCTACTAGGCAAGAGAATATAGTTAATGCTTTTTAGAGTATTGTGCGCTAGCAACTTTCCACTTAATCTCTCCTAACCTTACCAAGAGTCACAGAATCCAGGGGAGGGAAAGAAGAAGGGAAACTCCCTGGACTTTCAGAACACATAGTCTACACATGAGCCTTAAACTTTTACCCAACCAACAGCTGAAGAGTCTGGCATGATCTTGAAGGTGGGCCACCAGCTGGGTCACTAAAGACTGAGAATAATACAAAACTCAGATTTTGGTCACTTGGAGTCACACAAGCCCCATGTAAGAATCGGAAACTCTCTGGGAAGCCAATCACAGCAGAATCAAGTGGAAGAACTAGAAGAGATTTCAAATAAGATATGATCCAGATTCTCCATGCTGCAAATGAAGAAACTGAGGCACAGAAAAGTAATGTGTGCAAGACAATGAAGACAGCTGGTAGCATAAAATAGGCAATTAAAGTCTGGGTGGGGTTGGGAGCCTGTCTCCTTAATGATTTTAAGCTTGAAAACGAGGAATCACCAAAATGAAGCAAATGCAAGTAAGTTCCAAAATAAAAAATGTTAGCATGTCCACTGAAGTTGGATACGATACATTATTCATCTTTTTTAAGTTTAAATTTAGAAATGGATGTGAATTATAACACATAAAACATCTAAGAATGAATCTAAAAAATATAACTTTATAAAAGATATTTAATACAGAAAACTTTAAAAGAAAGACTTGATGGAACTTAATAGGAACTGGAAGACTTAACAGGAACTGGAAACACAGGGAATCCAAGGTGAATGATGTGGGGAGTGCGGAGTGGAGACCCAAAGCCCATTAGTAGGCCACTGGAGATCCCCTTGCAGAGGGGTCTCGGGAGGAGACGAGCCAGTCAGAGTGCGATGTAGCAACGATGAAAAATATAACTTTCCTCTAGTTCCTAAATGCTTCCTCCCGCCCCCACTATCATGATACGAATTCTACCTTGCAAGTCTGGGTAGACCAGAGGATGTACACTGGTACAGATAGGAACTGGAAATACAGGGAATCCAAAGCGGACGGTTCCTTCAGGACCAGTGGTGTGAGTGGCGATACTGGGAGGGTAGAGGGAGAACGGTTGGAAAGAGGGAACTGATTACAAGGAACTATATGTGACCTCCTCCCTGGGGGACGGACAACAGAAAAGTGGGTGAAGGGAGACGTCGGACAGGGCAAGATATGACAAAATACCAATTTATAAATTATCAAGGGCTCATGAGGGAGGGGGGAGGGAGGGGAAAAAATGAGGACCTAATGCCAGGGGCTTTAGTGGAGAGGAAATGTTTTGAGAATGATGAGGGCAATGAATGTACAAACGTGCTTTACACAATTGATGTATGTATGGATTGTGATAAGAGTTGTATGATCCCTTAATAAAACGATTAAAAAGAAAATTCACCTCAAAGAAAAAGTAAGGATCTATCTAGAGCAGTGTTTCCCAAAGTGGGTGAGACCACCCCTTGGGGGTGGGTGAGCTGCAAAATCCTGGATTGTGGAGCACAGTACAAAAGTTCAGAACTGTGGGTAGGGGTAGGCGACTGAGTAATTTCCCCCTACCCATGTTTTGACAAGTTTGGGAACCCATGATCTGTAGGAAGAAGATTAAACTGCAATGCCAGAGTTGGGTCCTTGCTGTTCAGCAACTCGCTGTGTTGCCAAAGACACAGCCTTTCCCAGTTACGGGTTTTAGCTGCCTCTAGAGAGGGTGAGAGGTTCAAGTTTCCTCCTGTTCTAGTAAATGACTATGTACATCAGCCTAGAATTCAGAGAGGAAACCAAGCCAGGAAGCAAAGCTCAGACTGATGCCAAGAATATTGCTTATCTGAGGCTTCATGATTTGACATTTTTGGTGGCTTCTAACTAGAACACGTTTTTTGTGCAAATAATGTATTGTTAGCATAAAAACACTACAGTCCTTCAAAATTCTTACCAGTTTATACTTTTCTAGATGGATCTCTTGGCAGTTTTGCCTACCTGAATCATGAAGTCATTTTCCTCCTGGACCTCACAGATGCAGCGGACCACCTCAAAATCGTACCGGACATCCCCATCCAGCTCTTCATCTGGGTTGGTGGTCACGTCCACATCTTGGCCATACTCTTCATCACTCCAAAGAAAGCTCTCGGATGAGGATTCACTCAGATTATCCTCCTCTGGGTGGAAAGGGGGAATAATTTAAAATTGCATTATTACATAAAAACATCCTGGATTGTCAAGACTGGAAAATGTGGACTCCAATGTGTTTCTTAGGCCTGTCATATGATAACAGCCCAAGCGATGGGGGATGCCTGGCAATGACCTGAACTCTTAATTCCTCATTCAAATAAGAGGGAAGCCCAAAGTCAGTGGCTGTTCAAGGTCCCAGAACTCAATGCAAAGGAGTTCTACCTGCCCACGATCCACATAGGGCAGGGGTCCTCAAACTTTTAAAACAGGGGGCCAGTTCACTGCCCCTCAGACCCGTTGGAGGGCCGGACTATAGTTAAAAAAACAAACAAACTATGAACAAATTCCTATGCACACTGCACATCTTATTTTGAAGTAAAAAAACAAACGGGGCAAAAACACCCGGCGGGCCAGATAAATGTCCTTGGCAGGCCACATGTTGCCCGCAGGCCGTTGTTTGAGGATGCCTAACATAGAGCAACTTCACCCCACCCAGCCAGGGCCCCGCTTATTATCAGCATACATGCAAACCTAGCTTTAAAGCTCTGCAGACAGTGACGATTGTGAAGGGATCAGATTCCAGGGGAAAACAGAACCAGACTGTCTGCTTACAGATGTAGTCACAGCTAACAATTATGGGGACTTACTCTGAGTCAGACACTATTTTTTAGCTTTTCCCATATATTTAATGAATTCCTTTAAAACTCAATCACGGAATCACCTAAGTCGCTGAAGGAAGGGAAATTTCACAGTTGGCTCAGATTCCCCTGAGCAACCATGCCAGATGCAGAAGTCCTCAACAAGGAATGAAAGAATGAGATGGACACGTGTGAAAGTAAATAAGGGAAAAGAGGATAAAGGGTCTGGTTATTCTCAGGTTTAAAGGTACCTAATGCACATGCATTAAGACAAAGGGGGAGGTTCAGAGATGGCACAGTTAGTTAACAGTCTTTGTTTTATATGATATACCTCTTATTTTAAAAAGATGATAGATCTTACTTGAGAGTCTGGGAAGTAGATTACAGCAGCAACATAAATCCAGTCTTCTCAATTACAGTTTGGTTCAAACTGTAAGGCCAACGAAGAGTCTCCTTACCAGATACTTTCACTTTTCCTTTGTGGTTTCCGGATTCTGAGCCAGGGAGCTGTGGGCTCAGGTGGGCTCCAGGCTTGTGTGAAGTCCCACACCTGGTAACAGCAAACGCCTTAGGTGGAGAGGGCTCCTGGGAGGTATCACTGACCTCCTCACTGCAGGGGCATTCTGAAAGAAAGGAACCACAAAGGAATGAGTAGCCCCCCAGAAATCATCAAGGCATCCCAGAATCAATTTATCAATAGTTCAAATAGCTCAAAGGCTCAGCGAGCAATTCAGCCACAAAAGGGGGGTCTGGAGACCCGATTCAGGGTTCAGTATTTTAAGCTACCTCCAGGCGCCTCAACACCAAATGCTTCCTGCTCCCCTCCTTTTCTCCGTTTCCCTCCCTCTTTTCCTCTGTCAGTAGATGAAAATAAAACATTGGTTTCATTTGATACCCACCACCACCCCTATGCCTCAAGGAATGAATTCTTGAAAGGGTTCAGAGATGTATAGTTTGAGAGTTATGTGTATAAGCGGTCACTTATTTATCTGCATATCCTCTCCAACAAGGATGTTTTTATGTGTACTGCCCTAACACATGGCACTGGCCAATGCAGTGGGAAGGGTTTTATAAATGTCAAACAGGCCTTGAAACACTAGGGCATACGAGCTCCTCTCCTGCCATGGCCCATGCACAGAAGTACCTACAGGTGGGGCCCCTCTCCCCTCAGCCCCCTGGTTCCCTCAGTGCAGGTTCTAAGGCTAGGTTGGGGAGACCACCACCTCTCCCCAAACTTGAGGTGAGGAAATCCAGATGAAACAACTCGGGAAAAATTACCAGGCTTGGTTTTCTTTTTCTTTTTCTTTTTTTTCTTTGGTTTCACTCTCACAAACTCTTTGAACTTCTTCTCTTTATTCTTTTCCTTGTCTTTCACAGCTAGAATTAAGCACAAATTTAAGAGTTGGTCTCTTAACTTTTCATCTTACAGGCTAGTGTGTGTGTTCAATTACTAAGTAATTGCACACTTCAATGAAGAACCATAAGAGACAGTGAATCAGTGCTGTTGCTGGCTCTGTCTGGGAGGTCATTTTCCCTCCAAGACAGTGGTTCTCAACCTGTGGGTTGCAACCCATTTGGGGGTCAAACAACCCTTTCACAACGGTTGCCTAAGACAGAGCTCCTCTATCTGTCTCCAGACGGGTCTGCCCACATGCAGATACACCCACATATGAGCACTCGGCATGATGACATTATCACGCCAACCCCATCACATGTACCCCATACAAATACAGGTTTATGTGACAGGGCTGGCGCCATAATGTACTTATGCGGACCAGTCATACATGTGTAGAGATCGGCTCCTGTGTAGAAAACAGTTGCTATGTTGAAAGCAGCAGTACTGGAGGTAAAATGGCACTTCATAAATTACCTATAATTACTAGGTAAATGTAAAATCACCAATTACTGCAAAAAATACATATATATTTGTATCGTGGAAACTTAATCCGGATGCTGATCGGTCTTCTTCTATTTAGCTGTGGTTGATGTGAATACTGCCCCCTTGTGATCGTAACAGGTATGTAAAAAAAACAACAGGGAATGATAAATCATAGGAAGCTTTAATGAACTATATTGACTAAACTACACCATATACCATCTTTTGTATTATTAAAGCTGTTATATATTATTTTCATCAGCAAATCATCCCATGACAATGGATCGTGTAGAGAAGTGCGTTAAGAAAATACAGTAAGGTTGAATGATGGGGGGAGTGCGGAGTGGAGACCCAAAGCCCATTAATAGGCCACTGGAGATCCCCTTGCAGAGGGGTCTCGGGGAGGAGACGAGCCAGTCAGGGTGCGATGTAACAACGATGAGAAATACAACTTTCCTCTAGTTCCTAAATGTTTCCTCCCCGCTCCCACTACCATGACTCGAATTCGACCTTGCAAGGCTGGCTAGACCAGAGGATGTACACTGGTACAGATAGGAACTGAAAATACAGGAAATCCAGGGCGAATGAGCCCTACAGGACCAGTGGTGTGAGTGGCGAAACAGGGAGGGTAAAGGGAGAATGGGTAGGAAAGAGGGAACCGATTACAAGGAACTGTGTGTGACCTCCTCCCTGGGGGACAGACAACCAAAAAGTGGGTGAAGGGAGACGTCGGGCAGGGCAAGATATGACAAAATACCAATTTATAAACTATCAAGGGCTCGTGAGGGAGGGGAGAGCGGGGAGGGAGGGGAAAAATGAGGACCTAATGTCGGGGGTTTAAGTGGAGAGAAAATGTTTTGAGAATGATGTACAAATGCACTTTACACAATTGATGTGTGTATGGATTGGGATAACAGTTGTATGAGCCCCTAATAAAATGTTTAAAAAAAGAAAATACAGTAAGGCTTTACCTCAATAATTACAGCAGGAATTGAGAAACCGCAATGTGTTATTTGTTGTGAAGTTCTCTCAGCCAAATCTATGAAGCTGAACAAACTAAAACACCATTTTGATAGCAAGCATCTGAGCTTTGCCAGCAAGGATACCAATTACTTTAGAAGCACAGCTGATGGGCTCAAGAAAGCCAGACTTGACACTGGTGGCAAGTACCACAAACAAAACGCAGCAGCCATTGAAACTTTATATTTGGTGGCATTCAAAATCTCCAGAGCTATGAAATCTCACACCATTGCAAGGATTTACTGTTGTCAGTAGCCAAAGATATTGTTCCAGTTATTATCGGAGATGAATTTGTTACAAAATTTAATGCAATTTCCTTACATTCTGCAGAAGAATCGATGACATGTATGCTGATATTCTTGATCAGATAATTCAGGATATTAAATCTGCTCCACTTCCAATATTTAGCACCCAGCTTGATGAATTTACAGACGTTGCAAACTGTTCACAGTGACTGGTTTACAGTGAGGTATATTAATGATGGTGACTTTAAAGATGAGTTTCATTTTTGCAAACCTCTTGAAACGCTGACTACTGCACATGATATATTTGACACAGTTGGTTCATTTCTGAAAGAGCATAAGATCTTTTGGGAAAAGGTTTGTGGTGTTTGCACAGATGGTGCTCCAGCTATGCTGAGCTGTCAATATGGATTTCAGTGTTTGGTACTGAATGAGTCAACAAAAGTCATCAAAACTCACTGTAGGGTTCATCAGCAAATATTAGCAATGAAGATGCTGCCACAAGAGTTACAAGATGTAAAAAAAAAGTCATAAGTTCTGTCAATTTTGTAAAGCAAGCACTTTAAACAGTAGGCTGTTTTCACAACTGTGCAACAAGTTGGAGGCAGTGAATAACGCTCTGCTATTTCACACTGAAGTGAGATGGTTGTCGAGAGGAAAGTTTTAAAATGTGTTTTGAGCTTTGTGATGAACTCAAAACCTTTTTCAATCAGAAAGCAAGACCACAGGTGGAAGCACTTTTCAGTGATAAAAGTGAACTGCAGACAATAGCTTACTTGGTTGACATCTTTGCCATCTTGAATGAGTTAATTTATCACTGCAACCATGCCTCGATTTGTCTGAAAAGATCCTATCATTCTACATGAAATTTCAGCTTTGGAAAAAAAAATTGGATGGAAATAAAATTTACATGTTGCCTACCATATCTGCTTTCTTTGAGGAACGACACTGAACCAACAAAAGGATGACGATGATAATTTCTGTGAAAGAACACTTGCACATGCTTGCAGACGATAAGACGCTATTTCATCATACTTTCAACTCAACCTGACACCCCATTTGCACTTGCGAGAAGCCCATTCACAAAGTTTAAAATGTTCCTGAGACAGCACAAGAGGAGTTCATTGAACTTATTAACAGCGATGCAGCGAGAACTGATTTCTCTACAATGCAGTTACAAAATTCTAGATTAAGTGTTTGCAGTCATATCCTGTTGTCTGAGACTGGGTTGCGCCGCCTTCTTCCATTTCTAACAACTTATTTTTGTGAAACAGGGTTTACAACTTGTTGGTTATCAAGTCTAAATACAGAAGTAGACTTGTTGTGGAAGATGATCTTCATTGTGCTCTTGCAAAGACTGCCCTGGGAATTTCTGATCTGGTGAGAAAGCAGCTATCTCAACCTTTGCACTGACTTTGGCTTTTTGTGTATACTGTCGCAAAATGTAGCAATGTAGTTTACTGTTGTTATATGTAAGCATGCTACACCATGCTACATGACAAAATTTCATTTATTTGTAATTAGAAATAAATATTTCATAATATATAATTACATATTGTTTTTGTGATTAAGCACTATGCTTTAATGATGCTCAATTTGTAACAATGAAAATATATCCTGCATATCAAATATTTACATGACGATTCATAACAGTAGCAAAATGACAGTTATGAAGTAGCAACGAAAATAATTTTATGGTTGGAGGTCACCACAACAAGAGGAACTGTATTAAAGGGTCACGGCATTAGGAAGGTTGAAAACCACTGCTCTAAGATCTGTGACCCCCTCCCTCACCCTCACTTAGCCTTTCCATTAAGGATTTGCAAACTAGAGGTGGCCCCTTGTTATCAAAAGTAGGTTTTACTGATATGAAACCCACATTGGGTGAAATCTACAGAGATAATAACTAGAATAAGGGTTCCTGGGGGTGTGGCAGCAGCGTAGGGGGTGATGGGGAACTATGTCAAGAGTACAAGGAAATAAATGTTCTGAAAATGATTGTGGTAGCGATTGTTTAATACTCCTTGATATGACTGAACTATTGAATAGTACGATGCCAGGATTATGTCCTAATAAAATGGTTTAGGCGGGAAGGAGTAGATTTTACTTACATGCAACCATATTAATTTGTGACAGATTGTCTACAGCTGCTTTCAAGCTTCAACACAAGGTATTAAGTAGTTGCAACAGAGACCATATGACCCCAATGACAAAAATATTTTATTGTCTGGCCCTTTACAGAAAATGTTTATTGACACCTACTTGAAATACTGCTTCTCAACCTGGCTACGCACTGGAATCATCTGGGGAGCTCTTTTCAAATGAATGCCTGGTCCCACCACCACCAATTCTGGTTTGAGGCATGGCTTAGACATCAGGATTTTTTGTTTCCGGGGTTTTTGTTTGTTTGCTTTATTTTTTAATGAAGTGCAATTCAACACAAAAATTAACCATTTTTAAGTAAACAATTGGGTGCATTTAGTTCACTCACAATATGGTGCAGCAACAATCACCTATGCAGTCCCAACAGATTTTCACCACCCAAAATGAAACCCTGTACCTATCAAGCACTGCTCTCTCTTCTCCCCCTGCTCAATGGGTTTGTCTGCTTCATAGAAACGGAATGATACAATCTGTTGTGTATGACTTCTGAAATAGCACAGTAGCACAAAGAGATTAATTGACACATGGAACATTTCATTCTTGAGACTACATTTCCCTTAATTCCTAGGCACACCATGCTATCTCGAGGTAACTGAGCATATTTGGGACTGAAATTCCCAGAATTGCTTATACTCAGTGGGAACCTTTAAATACGCGTGGAGAAGCCATATTCCTGATCTCATTAACTTTCAGGTTGTGACTTTCCCCTGGAGCCCATAATAAAACTCCCCAGTACTGCCTCTATGTCTGATCAGAGCAATTTTTTTCTTGCAGTGAAAGACAATAATCTGATCTTAGTAACAATTCTACTTTGCATGTTTTAAAGGGCATCGGGATTTTAAGAAAACGCTCTCCAGGTGATCAGCATCAAGATGGATCACAAAGAAAATGTGAGGCAGAGTAGGCAGTGGGGTTCAACTAATGTGAACAAGGCACTTTCGTATGCAAGAAAATCACAAGCCTTTCACATTTAATCCTTAAAACAACCTGTGTACAAGCAGACCTTGGAGATATTTGTGTTCAGTTCCAGATCCCAGCAACGAAGCAAATATATTATAATCAAGTAAGTCACATGA